AGCTTCTATCATGAGTGTGCTCTTATTGCGTGCCAACTTCACACTGTTTACATTCTGTCAACTTCAACCGACTGACTCTTTACGAACTTTGACCGCTGACCCCTTAAACAAACAAGTACAAACATCGTCACCAGTACGTCTGTACGACAAACAAGGTGCATTCGACGTATTCGTTGTCATGGCAAAGACACATTTTGACAGCGATTACGAGACGGTATTCGACGTAGACGCTTACTTGAACCTTCTTTTCACAGATGTGTACACGTGTGGAGGCGGGGGGCCAGGAGATGGCAATTACCTTCTTTGTCTGCAGATTGACTTCTTCAAGAAAGGTAAAGATTGTGGTTAAACATATACATGCACCTAGCTAATATAAACACTCGCGTCAACCCAAATTCACTTCCATGTTCAAACTAATCAAGTAAATCAAACCATGTAGCTATGATAAAACCATACAGCATGGCAAACATTCAATGCAAAAGAAAACGCGCAATCGGAATAAACAATGGGGGGGGGGGGGGTTTAGCTGGGACAGGTTACAAGAAATAAAATTCCATTTACAGTAAAAAATAGGTTTTTACACTTTACAGATAAAGCAAATTCTTAATTACATTTTACATTTTGATAATTTTGATAATTTGTGTTTTATAATCAAAATTGGAAATTGCGTACGAATTACGACATTTAATTTGGAAATTACTTTATACACTTACAAAAAAAAATTATATCTTTGTGCAAATTACAAACGAATAAAATAGCTAATTACATTTTACACCTTGCCCATGTCTACGAATTTATGTTTTTTATTTATTTAAATTACATTATTACGAAAATGAAAACAATTGATTACAGCTTACGAAAATATCCCTTGCCGACCCTCACCAATGCGTTCGTGTATCTAATCTTGGCAGCAAACATACACACATATATTCTGACGTCCAAAACAGTTATTTACATGAACCAGGTGTTATACGAGTCAAATACGCATTTATTTGCATACATTACATTCTATTTGGAACCGTCTTTTTGGGTGGCGGGTGACTGCAGCGAGTCTTGGTCAATGGTTTTTGGGACAAATCGTGGATTTTCATTGTTATTTAGTTTTTTTCCTAATATTATTCATTTGCGTGAATGACAATATCACACTTTGTTAAATTAAATCTATTTAATTTAAACATCCTACATTTAATGGTTAGCGAGTGGTTTGTGCAATCTAATTTGTAAATATATGAATGGTTGGTGAATAAAAAGTTTTGTATTTTTTGACACCAGATATGATACTCTATTACAAACATAACATTATTTAACATAGCAATATCATCAGTTCTTGGATTCAAGAAAGGAGCTCTCTTGAAAACCCCTGACCATTTTTTCATTGCTTTTACGTATGATTTTCTGTCATGATTTATGTATCAAGTGCAAATCTATTGCCAATATGAAAGCAGGAGGGTTGTCACCTGCGTATGCGCGGGAATTGAGTTTCAATCGACTATAACAACACACGCTAAAAACGCAAAGGCTCATGGGTAGACGCTTGTTTGTAAACATTGACATGATATGGCCATCTGACGCATGCGCAGGTGACGACTCCCTCCGCTTTAACTATCTGACATTTGAAGGATTTGATGATTTGTAGAGTATTTTCTTCAGCAGTTACCTATGTTGAATTTATAATGCCTATAATACTCGTTGTTGAAATTCTAAACTGCCTTTCACAATTGGTGGCACATCAAGTTGTTATCATATTAATACATTTTTTTCTTAACTAGCTACGTTCACGGGAAATCGCTTATTGGAAATCGGCAGTGGACCCACTGTGCATAACCTGATACCTGCAAGTGCATACTTCAAGGAGATCACAGTTGCAGAATTTTCCAAGCCTTGCAGGGATGCTGTCGAAAAGTGGATCCGCGCCGAACCAGACGCATTTGACTGGAGTCACTTCTTTGATTATGTATGTGCGAAAGAGGGAAATGGGTGAGTTACAACAAAGAAATTATCAGTTAGAGATTTGTAATACATGTATCGATTAAATATATATTTTTAATAAAATGTTTTATTCAATTATGTTTATTTTAAAATTATGGAATCAGCCATTGTTTAAATATTGGAATTGTGCCAGAGTAGTTCCGTAGACTCAGCAAAACAGAAAGTTTGTATAACTTAATTAGAATAATTATGTTGCTTTTAATTGTATTTGAGTCACTATTTTATTTATATTAGCACAATGCTCATATTATAGCTGGGATGTTCCTGATTATGTATAATTGTTGCATTATGGGTGAGTGGTTATTACAGTGTAAGATTGGGGGTGTAGTGTGTGTAAATGTGTTTATTGGATTTAATTATTTTATTGAATGTTATTGTTATTGGGCACTGTTTTATTTGTGAACAGTGTTCATGGAACATGTCATTTATATTCTTCAAATGTTTCCTATAAATCACCTCTGATGTGAAAAGGGCTCACAGAACCTTCTTATGTATTTGAAATTATTGTACATTCACCTGTGATGGCGCACTTCAAAACATCTTGGCTCTCTGTCTCTGTGACCTTTAACCCCACCAATCATCTTTTGTGTTTTTCTAGGTGAGTGATTTATGTCATCGTTATCAAGTTTAATCAAAATAGTTATCCTTGAACCACCTGTACCAGTTAATATTATATTTCTTTTTGTTGACAAAGACATTTTTGATCATTGTTGATGATCGTTCCATGACAAATATTTTGAAAAGTATTTTAAAACCCCCACCTGCTATCTGTTGTGTGTTTCTAGGGGTTCGAAGGGGGAATATAGCCTCAGTGACGTACAATTGGTTCATTAATCCACAATTGCAATCTCTGGTGTGTTAATATGTTTTCATGTATGAACACCCACAACTATACCGCAAAATCTTGCATGTCTGACTGACCGACCATTGAGAAGCCTTTTCACTCATTTATCTGAAAAATAGATCTTCCTATTGTGATTTTGACCCTCTATAGTTGAAATCAGTTTTTGTTTTTGCTTTTGACGCAAGGGACGCTACTACATATATCGTGGTCACTGATTGGCCTGTATTCAAACGAAGTCTTTATTTTGTTTTTAAAAGCCACTAATTACTGTGTGTCGGGACACCCACTATGTTGTTCTGGGTATTGATCTGTCAAACTGTTTGCAAACAATATCTTTGTTGTTACTGGGTTTGAATATGCAAATTGACTTCTGATCCCTGTTAACTGTAGTATGGTCAAAATGGTCTCACATCGTTTCTGACGAGATGCACAATATTATCAGTATTTCAGACAACTTTGTCGGTTTACTATGTATTTAGTACACCACAGATTCACTGTCATACTGACCGAGGGTTAATTGGAATGACGTTGATGTCAGTCTCAATAGAGAGACTAATGTTTTGAAATTACCAAATGCAGCATTTTTTATGCATAACAGAAGTGATATGTACATAATTCAATTGTATTGATTTCAGAGAAAGCTGGAAATCCCGCCAGGAGAATCTACGGAAATATATCAAGGGTGTGATTCCCTGTGATGTGCACGAAAGCAACCCACTTGGTCTAAATTCGTTGGATCCGTTCGACGCCATCATCACGTCTACCTGTCTCGAAGCAGCCTGCCTCGATAATCAGTCGTACCGGTCAGCTATCAAAAATATTACCAAATTGCTGAAACCAGGAGGATTGTTGCTTATTTGGAGTACGTTAAACGAAAGCTTCTACATGATTGGGGGATCACGATTCCATGCTCTACCTCTAGACGCCGAGTTTATTATAAATGCTGTCAAGGAAGCAGGTTATACTGACATTAAAACAACCAAATTTCCTGTTCCACCATTCGAAGGCATTGAGAAAATTGCAGACGCAGAAGGAATATTGTTTCTAACTGCATGCAAATTATAAATTTTTTGTGAATTTTTATGGCATATTGTTTGGTTAGGTTTCTTTTTTTGATACAAAAGGGATCTATACCATTCGCAATTATTTAAATTATGTAATCTGTGTTGAAGTACCGGTATATCAAATACATAGAAGAATCCACACTCGTTTACTATTTTTAATTCCAATGAAAAATGAATAAAATAAACAAATAAACAAAAACAAATAAATAAATGTTTATCCTCAAGTTGTCAACAATCATTTGTTAGATATATGCATTATGCAATTGCTGCTCAGTAATGCGACCTGGTCTTTCAAATTTGTTCCCAGTGTTCCCCACATATCGCTTATTAGCATATACTATTTGGATTTCTGTAATCAAACGCATGACTGTAAATGGAATTACTATATTTTTAATATGCGCACTTCCGGTGGGGTACTCCTATAGTTGAGGTATACAGATATGCGTCAGATGGCCACAGTGTGTCATTGTTTACAAACAGGCGTCTCCCCATGATTCTTTGCGCTTTTAGCTTGTGTTGTTATCGTCGCTTGGGACTGAATTCCCGCGCGTGCGCAGGTGACGACCTTCCCGCTCTAATTTTTTTTCTTGTTCTACGTACGTACAGCTCCCCGTAAGGGAGATGCACACATTTTCGATGGTTATCCAGATCTGTTGTCGCAAATGCGCGTTTTACAACATATCTTACTATTATTCTCTGTAAGTGGAAAGAAAACACAAATTTCATATCATTTTTTGAAAATGTGTTGAAATAAGCCTTCAGTTCTGACAAATTGTACTAGTATATGATTATTAAACATACAACCAACTATCAACGGGACGTAGTGTGTGTGTGTTTTTCGATGGTAAACCGACCATCCGTACTCGCACCCACCATGGAAGCCGGGCATGGCCATGCACCCACCAACCTCACTGCCATCCACCTAATAGCAGTGACAATGCGGAAGATGCCTTAATTCTGTCTGTCAGATCACAAACGACGAAAAAAATATGTCAAAACATAAACTATGTCAAGGTCTCAGTACCTATCGGTAGAAAACGACCTCTGCACATCAGACTGCACTCGAGCTAAATAAACAATAACTGTTTACAATTGAAGGACTGTTCTAAATGCAATCATGTGGTGGTTAACACACATTTCATTAAGATCAAATATTTGTTTTTACTTCGTCTTTGATCATTTAAATCGAATCGTAAGCTAACTTTATTTCCAAAAAATTCTGAGACCCTTCTACCATTGTAAATACTAGTAGTTCACATTTTACGGAGTACAAGTGCGGTAATCTATATTAATAACTGACACTTGTTGTGTTAGGGGTCATACTACGGTTGCCAACATGGTCACGTGGTTAACGGGCATATAAGCTCAGCGCAGTTGCTCATCTGTCCCGCTGTCTGCAGATTGGTTCACCAGGCTCCAGAAGTTTTAGATTTCCGATTTCAAAATGCAATCTGACCAAAAGTATACACATATGAACCAACCAAGCCACAGGGTCAGTTTTTCTACTGCTGTTTTAATTTTATTAATAATTCAATTGATCATAGTGTTGTTTATTTACCCACTTATAGCCACGTTTCTTATTGCACATTATCAAAACCAAATATCAAGTCTTGAACTTCGAATCGAACATTTAGAAGAACCACGCAACACCATAAAACTTCTGGCGGAGTCGCAGATACCGCAGCGCCCTACTGGTGACCCAGACACGGAGACTGGCTGCAGATGTGGTCCCACTGCCACAGGCACGGCGGTCAGTGGATCTGACGCACTATCTAACCAGGGTATTCTACCCTGTTGTGGAGTGAGCGAGGAAACTTTGCAGACGGTGAGCTTGTTTATTATTTGTAAACATCGAATAGGAAATATTCTTACGCCCAATCGGAATTGTTCAACAGTAAATCAGGAGTCTCATCGTATGATGTTTTCTATGAAGTTTCCAGTGTGGTTTATTTTTTAATTCAGTTTCAACATACAATCACACGATGGTTCACAACAACGTGTTTTAATGTATAACTTATTTTAACTTCCTTATTTGAATTACGCTTTGAGTGTTTGTTACACTGATGGCATACGTTGACACCGCACGTCAAATGTTAGATGCTAATCTGCAACTCTGTTATACATTTATTTGTTTTGGTTCACGAAGTTCGAACACGAGCTCGAGGACTGTTTGCATTAGATGTGTGTCGTTTCTTGAACACATTTTGTTCAATAATAATAATACAATTTGGTCTATACATATTACCATAGCACTGTTACATGACAATTTACAACGATTATTAGAGTTTTCAATTTGAAAATGCCCGAGTGGGTAGATTTGCTGATTATTATTTGCTGTTTTCGCCATTGTTTCACATGACCGACAAATTGGCTTGCAAGCAGATTATTTATTATTTGTAGTCTTCAATTCGAACCCTCATCTTGTCCCGCATTGGCCGATCTGGTTAAAAGTTGGCACACACGCAAAAAATAAATATAGCCAACAAACGTACATCATGATTCGATTTTTTTTATCACATATTAACTTCCCTCTCCGTATTAATGGTGACGAATAATGTTCTATTAAAGTAGGTGCAAAGAGAAAACTTTAACTATATATATGAGCATAAATTAAATTTATGTGCGATTTTTTTTCTCTTACTGTGTACGACATAACTACTGGTCATTTAGCAAGACTTCAGTAAGTAGCACCATATGTAATTTAAAAAATTGTGCTGTGGCAGAATTGATGATAAGATCACAAGATATTCATTTGACTGCTTTGTATGTTAATCGAAGTAGGCGAATAGCAACGACGTCACCTGTTTGTTTGTTGTTTGTCCGTGTCTCAGTTTTCGTTACTGAGCTCTCTGTACCGTGCGTGTTAGTCACATAGTTACTCACTAGGCGGGTTTAATACAATTGTAAATTACCGTGACGGATTTTTTTTTAGATTTTGATAAATTAATTACTTTGTTTTTCCCATCTACTTCTTAGCTACTTCATTGTTTTGCGGAATGCGGTCGATTGCTGTCCCCGTTGACACATTTTATGATTAGAGGGTCAAACTTAGTTTAACAGTCGCGACACAGGTTATTGACAAAAAGGTGTATAAATATATTATGACTCAACTAAAGGAGCTTGTGTAACATATTTTACATATGACTACAAGCTTAAGGTTTCATGGAAAAAAATCTGAAAAAGAACATGATACTGATTTTTTGTTATGTCTTCAATAAAAAGCCAGTTATATGCAGGGGTATACGTGATGTTGTAGTATACAGAAAAATAAAATGACAAAAACAAGTTGCGCACGAGTATGTCAACTTGAATTTCGGCAGAAATATGCAAACTAATCTTCTATCATTTTTTTATTCAAGCTCGAACCACGCAAGAACAGACTCAATTACTATTTTCTTAGGTGTACACTTGGAATCAACTCTGCAGGATACATGGCGCGACAGACCAACCCGAACATTTCCGAACGTACTTGTATTTATTTTTTCAAGTGTTATCGTTATGTCATTCTAGAATATACAATTGCGCCCGGGTGATTGTTCTCACATTGAGAGAACCAGGTACAGCATTTCGTGCTAGACTTCATTGCTTTTTAAAATTGAACGTAGATACACAGCTTTCCCTTTTCATTACTTTAATAAACAAGTTTTCTAATCAGTGGCATGCCGTGTAACAGTAGCATCAAGTCTTTCAAACAATGTATATATGTCAGCTGACTATTTGCCCACACAAAGTTACTTCAAATCTGAAAGACGAAAATCAGCCCACGTTGAAAATAGGCGTAGGATGTGAAAGAAATAATAAACTTCATGCTGATAACCGTCCACATGACTGTGCTTTAGCCTAATCCCACTACAGATTTATTTAACGGATAAAAACATACAAAACATTAATAGGGAAATTGTATTTCACAACTCTTTTGGTGCATTCTACCAGATTGCGCCTCATCATTAAGTCGGAGCAAAAACAATGACGCAAATGGTTATTTCAATGCAAAATCATTCTGTGTAACACATATTACTCTCTTTTTTTAGGTGATTTCGAAAATACTTTCAAAAAAGAAGAACTTCTACCAACAGGAACATCGTCGCCGATCAGGTTATATTCTTAGTACATTATGGGTTTATTGAATTGCAAACAATTATACTGTCTAATTATAACCCGTATTATTGTTACGTTCTTGTCGGTACAGAGTTGTCTATTGAGCAAATAGAAAGACTTATCGAAGACATCGTGGCAAAGAATAACACGCTCAATTTACGACATGCTCCACGTCTACGTGAACGTACAGTCCTACCACGTGCGATCCACGTGACAGGCAAGACTAATGGGTTTTCTGGAAGTAAGTATGTCTACAATATAAATAATACTACGTGGGGTCTGAAATGTGGGCATCTTTTTAACAACGGGTGTATCAATCATTCATCTCCATGAAGAGATGAAAACTTTTAAGTAGTAAGTGTTTTTTTCATTTATATTTTCTCGCCACTGCCACGCTACTCGGCGGAACTGAGTAGCTGTGAACTTAAACTTATCGATCACCGTGACCACGATTGTATACCAATATACTAGAAGAACTACGCTCTCGCATCTAGATTACGATATCATCAATACAAGTGGATATCATTTTCAAACAATCGAAAATTTATTTTCGATATTTCGGAACAAATGAGACCAGGTGCTACTAACATGTAAATAGTTCTGTAAAAGTGTGGCATCACAAGATTACATTGTCTAAACGTTGCTTATTTAACTTGATGCGTGGTTATACATAAGTATAGCCATAATACCTATTTTATAGAACTAGCTTCGTCAAGGGAAATGAAATTGTGTAAATTAAAGCGGGAGGGTCGTCACCTGCGAACGCGCGGGAATTGAGTCCCAAGCGACAATAACAACACACGTTAAAACGTAAAAGCTCATGGGTAGACGCTTGTTTGTAAACAATGACACGCTAATGCCATCTGACGCATGCGCAGGTGACGACTCTCCCGCTTTAATAGTACGTACCTGTAATTCACAATCTTACAGAATTGTGTACTAGTTCGCTATCTGATCATCAAAAGGTTAGAGTGATGTTTGTGACTATGTATTTACGACAATTTGTATCC